CTTAAAAAAAATACTATACTGGGCGGCTTTTCCAAGTGTATCCATCCAAAAGTATAGAACGCATTTATGAATGACTACCGCATTGTCAATAAGTTCTGTTTTTTAGGGAATAGAATACCAATTTTTTTTTTAAGTTTGTTTTAATTTCTATAAACGATTTTACTACCGAGTCTGAACCTCCTGTGTGAATTTGGGCACCTTTATAAAATCCACCCTGTATAATAAATGATGGCAGCGGTAATCAGTTATAATAATAAATGCGTAGGAGCAAATATTAATAAATGATTAGTAAATATACTAAGAACGGCCTGTGCCTGGACCATCTGACACGGCACGTATGACGTCAATAAAAAGGTGATTGAGTTTTTAATGTTTTTATTATCTCTTACTTTTATGGGGTTTTTATCTAGACTCGCCTACCCCATCGTAATTTATACAGTTCACAACAAATTACGAATAACCCTCAAAATTATAGATTTATATAAAAAGTGAGTCACTGCTTGTTGACTCGAACAAGGCCACAAATACGTTTTATTGTTTCACTTTTAGGATTCGGCAAAATATTAAAGAGCAGACCAACATCCAATAAATTTACATTAATATCTTTAAACACACTTTAGCACATTGAAATTTGAAAGCTCGTATTTGTCTTACGAAGATCTCAGTCACATACTATGAACAAACTTTTATCTTTGGAAACTCGGTACAATGGAAGTCGTCACGTAACAAGTGGTCAAAGCTGTCACAGTACAATTCCAGCAGTGCGGTCTCGTTAACAGTGCACTATTTCAAGCTACATTAAACTTGATGTACGCGTGTTGAAACTAGAAGGCTATTATTCGAGTGCAACTGTGTAACTAAGATAACACTTGTGTAACTTTAAACTGTTCTTCTTTCAACTTTGCGAAGATCTAATAAACCACACCGGCCCAATGGTCTGTTGGTACAAAATTACTCAAAAAGTACAGTGTTAGACCTAAAAAAACGATATTGTAAATTATTGTAATTGTGGAAAATCATTTGGTGTTTTGGCGTCATGCCGCAAGTAGTTAATTTAAATAACTTATTCTACATAATTATTTAATTAATATAACTATCTGAAATTATACATCCAGTTTTATACAAATGTATATGTACAAAACGGATGTTATAATTGTAACAAAAAATGTAGATATGTATACAGAACGGAAGCGGAACAGTGTTAAAAATCGATTTCGCATCTTGAAACAAAGAACAGTACGAGTTGGCAACTATCCATCTTGTTCGTTGTCATAAAACTTAAAGTCCGTCTGTAAGGAATTTGCCAATGTCCTACAAAGTGAACCCGGCAGCAGACGATTTATAGGCAGAAGTATTATAGAGTTTTTACTTACTTTTTTCTATATGATTTTAATGCATTTGAATCGTTTCGTATAAGATATGAATTAATCGAAAACATCACTACATGTGATAGTTTGAAACATCAAAAAGTGAACGGCAAAAAGTTTGAGTAATTGTAAGTCTGAAATCCACACTTTACTTTTGACTTACGAAACAATATTTAATTAAATTTAGAATCCAAAATTCATCCTACAGCAATGTTGTGGAAGATCCTAATGTACTCGGACGGTTCACATTCTTCTCATAAAGCTTTCATCTACATCACTAACATAAAAAGTAACTAACTCTTTCTTTGAACTGCACTCATCACTATTTAAATTAATTACCTCATATTCATATACCAAATACCAGTAAAGTGAAATACGACTTCCGACCACTGCAAGTAATTTATTATATTCGTTTAAAAATATCATTTAAAAAATGCTGAAGCACAACCAAACACATACTACCGCAATACTCAGTCCTCCAGTACATGAAAATAGGTCAAAAACTCATCCATGATATTTCTCTATTGCGCTATTCAAACGCAAGTTGCAAATCCGCTTATGCAAAATTCCGCTCGAATCAACTTTTACAGTCCACACTCCAAAAGGGTGACGACGATAAAATTTGCCAGATTCCGAAACCTGCCATATTTTTGAGCACTTTATTATACCTTTTAATTTTTGTAGTTGCACTATAAAACAAAATTTTTCACTTTATACTTATAAAAATAATTAAGTTTGAGGTATTTTATTTGGTTTGCGGTTTATTATACACATTAATAATGCAATATACTAGCAACCTGAGTTCAAATCCTTTTTCCTCCCGCAAAATTTTCTCGTAACAAGCTAATATTTTTTTTTTATTTTTCTTTCATTAAGCTATACACCCTTTATTCGAGTATCCCCTTTTCAATTAAAAATATTTTTTCGGACACATTTTTTACACAACATCTCTAGTCCCAATCCCTATAAAAGCTTGTACTATGGATACTAGAAAACTGATAGATATACTTAAAAATACTTTTCTTTTGTAAATAAATACTTATTATACATATAAAAACACCCAGACACTGGAAAAACACTATGTTCATCACACAATATTTTTCCAGTAGTGGGGAACCGACACCCTCTGGCGCCAGAGGCAGGGGCGCTACTCCCCACGCCATTCGGGTCGATTAAACTGAAGCCTTTTGTCAAATTCCTAACCTTCATTTGATTGTCTAATTAAACTGGGTCTTGCTCAAGCAATTCTATGAGCCATCAATAGTCAACTCCTGATTTTGGGAATCTATCATTACTTGAAACTCAAATAAAAGACGAATCGACGAGATTTCAATATCGCTTAAGTCCGGGTTCGTGTAAGTCGAGGTATTAAGAACAGTTTATCTGATTCAGTCACTTTCTTCGATTATTGTTTTCCCTTTCCAGTCAATGAGATAATTTGAGTTCACTGCTCAGTTTCACAAAAGACCTACGTAGAAGTTTTATACTCTTACATTCCGTTGATCGATTTACCTTGAGGGTCATTAACAACATTAAAGCCTCGTATAAAGGCCAATTTATAATCGAGTGTCAGAAAAAGTAAACATGTATGCCGCTCTATGGACCTTATACTTCTCTTGCCAGTATTTTGAATGGCTGAATAAGATGTAAAATAATAGTTCCTTGATTAGTATCATTACTATCTCCATTTTCATTTAAAGTTAGTCTTCGATTTTTTGTATCAAGGAACAACCTTGCCTTTAATACAAAAAATTATTTTTACTATAGTTTGTTCTGTTGTATCTGTTCACTTCACTGTTCCTTTTCTTCTTCCTCCCCACTATTAACTCCCTACGTTAAAGAAAAATAAAAAGGTATGTGGAGCTTACGTAAGCAAAGGGTATGTCCTTTGCTTACAAGTAGGTCATTATGGGTCGTATGCAAGCTTTGTATAACAAAAGGTTGCGCCTTAAGAGTATTTTAGTTGAGGGTTTAAATTAGTTATAGAGCCTGCCCGAAACGACAGCGGCTCTGTCTCGTATGCTTTCAATGAGTTGCAATTGTACTTTTGTAGTAGAAAGTAAGTCAAAGGTAATAAACATAGATACAGACGGATCGAAAGATTTCGAAAAAATATAAAAACTTTCAATTTCATACCAAGCAATTAATTTTTATTAACATTTTGGAAATGTTTCTTCGCCACGCCGAACGGACAAAAATCATAAAAGCTAGCTAGGTAAGAAAAATTTTACAACTGTTATAAAATTTAAGAATAAAAATGTTTATTGAATGTATTGTTCATGAATAGTTCTTGTATCGCTAATATTCAAAGTTTTAATAAAAAAAAGTATATTTAAGTATATCTTTGTATTTCTGTACGCATCAGCGGTGAAGGAAAACATCGTCAGGAAACCTGCATATTTTCGAAATAATAACAAAAAAAATATTTCGAAGATATGTGAAGTCCACCAATTCACAGGGAGGCCATGTGGTGGACTATGCCCTGATACCCTCTGTACAGAGGTGGCCTTTGCCCAGCAGTGGGACATGTGTAGGCTGATACTTTACTTTAAAAAATATTACATTCATTTGAAAAAATATTTTTAAACAGTCGTACAAGTTTAATAAATTAAAATCAGCTGTACTTATTTCAATTTCTTATTCGAAATAAGTACATACAGTTTTTAATGACATACTCTAACAACTGCCCAACTGTTCGAGGATTAATCGATATGCAAATAGCTCACTTTATGCTTCACATTTAAATTACAACTCCAATCACGAGTGCGGGCCGAGTGTTGGCCAGTTCGCTAAAGAGAGGACAGTAAAGTAATATGGAGGGGGTTGGGGCAATAGGGCACTTTTAGTTAGAGCAACAGGCGCCCTGATCAATGGTTATCCCCCGCTTCCCCTTCGCATCCAAACCTGCGCCGCACTTGTTGCGCGTACAACCTTATAACCTAACCGTCAACTGTTTTACACGTTGTTAGATAATTATAAATCTTATAAACATTAATATCTCAACAAAGATTTTAGAAATTTGTGTACACAAGCATTACTTTGTAAAATTTAGTTTTTATTTCCCGTATATTTCTTCCGAATCTGAAGAAGAATGGCATTGCATCCATCCCCATGCTTTGTACGCGCGAACATGTTAACTTAGGGAGATGTCTAAAAAGTGCCCTTTTGCGATGTCGTTAACATAGTAACTTATAAAACGTGAAGTACAAAAGAACGAGGTGTAAAACTTAATCATTACGCACGCATAGCATGAAAATAGGCAAGAAATATACATACATATTACGGTGGTCCTTATTTAGGGTATGTTCGAATTTAGAAGTTTAAGTATAACTGGCGCGTTTGGCGCGTTTATCTTGTTACGCCAAAGAAGCATAACTTCTAACGCGTGGACATAAGTACACACAGATTTTTTTTCATCATGACAGTCCTGAATATGTTTCAAATATATAAAAAATCGTTTCTAATTGCAGCTCTTAATTTTAAAATTAACCCGGCCCCACCAACGCCAAAGTTGACGCAGGATTTATATAATATATTTGTAACCTATTCAGGGCTAACGCGAAGAAAGGGTATCATGCTTAGTATCTGCAAACTTGCTTTTAAGTTCAAAAATAGTTTTAAGTTTTAATTCAGATGAATGGTGAGAACAACAAGGTTTAAAAATATTATAACTACATACCTACATGGTATAAAACAAGGTCGTCACGCTGTCTGTCTGTCGCTGTGTATGCTTAGATCTTTAAAACTACGCAACGGATCTTGATGCAGTTTTTTTACTAGATATAGTGATTCAAGAGAAAGGCTTATATGTATAATACATTGCACCCGTGCGAAGCCGGGGTGGGTCGCTAGTAGCTTATATTAAATTTACATTATAATAATAACTATGAAAACATTAATTGTTACCCAGTGGTAATGTAAGTACTCTTGAGATATTTCGTTTAAAATATTATTGTTTTAAGATGTTACTTATTTGGAACAACTGTAAATATTATATATGTGATTTTTTAAGCCCATACTTAAAATATAATACCATACCCATTAAAATATGTAGAAAAAGTGCGAAAAGATTGTCGCCGCTGTGGGAATCGAATCCACGTCTTCGGCATTCGCGGCCTGACGCTCTAGCCACTGAGCTAAACGGCTGATTACCACACCGACGAAAATCTTAACGCATTCTTCCACATTGTTTTCTTAGCATTTGAAGCAATGCTTGGCGCCATCTATTGTTATATCCTTTACAGCATACAAACAACTTCGAATATCGTTTTACAACGATAATTCGAACGAGAGATGTCGCCATTGCTTTTTTAGAAATTTAAATTGTTTATAGTGCTAATCTTTGCACTTAAGATTGAACATTAAAATATGTAGAAAAATATATGTCGTCGGTGTGGTAATCAGCCGTTTAGCTCAGTGGCTAGAGCGTCAGGCCGCGAATGCCTGAAGACGTGGGTTCGATTCCCACAGCGGCGACAATCTTTTCGCACTTTTTCTACATATTTTAATGTTCAATCTTAAGTGCAAAGATTAGCACTATAAACAATTTAAATTTCTAAAAAAGCAATGGCGACATCTCTCGTTCGAATTATCGTTGTAAAATCTCATTGCTGTTCTTAATGATACCTAAACATATTACGTATTTAAACTTCTTAATTAGTTCTATGGCATTTCATTCCGATATATCAAAAACCCCAAAACTGGCAACCCTATTCAGATATTAATCATTTAAATATGCACAGATATCCGCAGCACAATCTCAATCCGCTAATCGTAGGTGCCGTCACCTACAGACCTCGTTCGTGACACGTTCTCGACTTCCCTGACGATGAGACGACTATCGCCAGGATAAAAACGTTACGAAAACACAGGCAAACATATACTGGGTTCCGCCACGTACCAGGCAGGTTGTTAATGATAGAAGCGTTGCTGGAGTTTCTTCCGTCACTTCTTCTCCCAGCGCCAACGCTTTACGTAGTGGTAGTAATGATAGATCTAGAGTTATTTGCAGTCAGATAAAAGCTACCAATCGAGCCAAGGTCCGGACCTCTCGGGCACCCTCGAATCGGAATGTTAAACGCGTATTGAGTGACAGCCCAAGCCGAGGTCTAGGCCGAGGGGACCCATGAGCCTAATCACTCCATGGAGCGTCCGCCAAAGTGCTATAAGAGCTTGGTGGGCTCCCAAACCGGCAATGATAGAGCCTTCCAGTTTAGTCACCACAACGCGTAATAATAATTAACTGAGGTTCAGGCTAGACGTCCCGAGCGCCAGGCCACCTCAGGTCCTAGGGATCTTAAAAGACCCCTAAGGCCAACAGTGGTCCTTGTGAATGTACAGTAATATGTATATATATTTTTTTTTATTTTTATTTTTATTTTTATTTTTATTTTTGTAACAATATGATTTTTAGGCGTATTGTTTGTGCCTGACACATTATCATTATCCATGGCCATGGTTATCTTATCCATTCTTTCTGAGTTCTTATGTGTCTAGCAACCTCGATAAAAATAATTATTGCTAAATTAATAATATTGAATTATTGTTAAGAAAATCTTTTAGAAGTTTGCGCAAATTCGTTAGATAATTAATAGTAAAAATAGGACTTATAATACTATTAATCTCTTTTTTACTTTAAAATTATACTTTTAATTCTTTGCAATATCCAAACGCAGTCGAGAGATGTTTAGAAAAATTTTAAGTGAATGTCAATTCCAGATTATAAGCTATTTTTATATTCTGTTCTTTAAACCTACGTTAAAAATATAATTATCAATATCATCAAACATAAGATAAGGCAAGAGAAAAAATTACATAGAGGTACGTAAGTTACGACCTTGTAATTTATAACGTTCTGTAGTTAGTTGTCCTTATGTCCAAATATAATTTTGTTTAAAATAATCATGAAAAGAGCGATAGACAAATGTTGGCGTGATTCTGCCACCTTAATTATGGTTACAAAACGTAATCAAAACATAAAATCACCGCATAAAGATACAAGTAATTGTAACTACGACATTTTGTTGCAGACTCGAACGCATACCGCGTCATTCCCGAATAGTGTGGTGTTCCCGGGAGGCGTTTGCGAGGCCGCCGACGCAGACGAAAGGTGGCTTAAACTTCTTAGTTCATTTGGTTTTACCCAAAGCGATTTTGAAAGTTTGCATAATTCTAGTAGTCCATTAACGCCTTTATTTCAAAATAATCCCATTCTAAGGTAAGAAAATATTGTTTTTTCAGTATATTAGTTTATTGCAGGGAATCTTTTTGTTTTCATGTCAATATTCTCATTAAAATGTTTTAATTATAATATCCTAAAAATATCTAAGTTTTTCCTGACAGCATGTGCATGAAATAATTATTATGATTAAGCTCTCCTTAAATAAATTGATACAAAGTAGCTCTTATTGTGTGCAGATTTAGCTCTTTTTATTCTATTAAATACTTTATAGAGATTCTCTTTTTAAGTGGATTTATTCTCTTATAGAAACTGTGATGTTACTGATGCTACAATGGAATTGAGTATTACATGAGTATAACATATATATTTCTTAACAATAAATAAACATTTATGATCACTAGTATTTCTAAGATAAGATTAATTTACCGTCATAATAGGTATCACAACAGCCAATTGTATAAGGTTCAATTGATTTTCATCATGGGAATATATATGTAGGAAAAAATTATGTACTTAATATATGATATACATTTTACCTACAAAGATAATGATTATATTTAACTTTTTGTTATCTCTATATTTGTAACAGGCATGTAGCATTGAGAATTACTGCAATACGAGAGACTTTTGAAGAGCTAGGTCTCCTTATCTGCAGTAAAGAGCATAAAAATAATAGGAAGAATGTATGGGCAAGTTTAATATCAGATATTGATATAAAGGAGTGGCAATCACGTGTGAGTAATTAAAGAAATTGTGTTACAATAATTTTCTTTTGGATTCATCCCATTTTCTAATCATTTATGAGGTTGTAGGAGGTTCAAGACTGTCTTTTTTTTTAAAATATAAATTTACACAAGAACAAGAGTGGTCAATAAATTATTGTTATAGGTTAGCAAAAACCCCGCTGATTTATTAGTTCTCTGCAAAGAATACAACTGTTACCCTGATATTTGGTCCCTTCACTATTGGAGTAATTGGCTCACTCCAATCAGCCAACCGAAAAGATTTGATACTGCGTTCTTTATCAGTGGATTGGAAACAAAGCAAACAACTGTGACAAGTGATGGTGAAGTTGTAAATGTTGAGGTCTGTATAAGACTGTAATCATTGAGGGGTTTTGTAGGGTATATAATTTAATAATAATAACAAGAGACTTATTTTTGGGGTAATAGATAATTGTCAGGTTTCTTATTGTTTGAGAAAAAAAATTATTAGGTTATACCAAAATATTAAAGATAATAAGACTTAGAATCCTAGCTGCATTTCCTTGCTGAATAGTTATGCTTAACCTTTTAGTGGGAAAAAAGCCAACCTTCTTGTCACCAGCTATGGTGATAAGGGACATATACAGCGTGTCGTTACCATCGCGAAAATAAATGAACACACGTCTAACGCTACTTGCCAATAATCATAAAAAAATATTAACGTTAAACATAATCCATAATTAAAAAAATATATTTTTCAAACAAACTAATTAAGTAAAAAAGAAACAAAATTTGTAACATCCTATACACTCGCGCCACAGCGTCGCATTACAAGCCTCTCCTTCTAACAGTATGTTTTGTCTCTTTTAAATTCATTCAACCCATTCATATGCTTTGTGACCTTTACAAATGAACTTTACGTTACAGTTTTATATGTAAGGGTGTTCTAAAATTCTTTGTTTTGGAAAATTTAATAACTCTGTAAATATTGATGTTTGAAGAATGTAAATGTTTAATACAATTTTAAAAATTTATCCTCTATATGTGTGTTCATTTATTGTCGCGGTGGTAACGACACGCTGTATAAGGAACATAAGTTGTAGTCAAGATTTATTTAGAATCATCATCATCATCATATCAGCTGTAGGACGTCCACTGCTGAACATAGGCCTCCCCCATTGACTTCCACTTCGACCGGTCGTTAGCAGCCTGCATCCAACGCATCCCTGCGATCTTGTCTAGGTCATCCGCCCACCTTGTGGGAGGCCTTCCTACTCTGCGCTTGCCGTCACGTGGTCTCCACTCGAGAACCTTTTTGCCCCAACGGCCATTGGTTCTATGAGCTATGTGCCCTGCTCACTGCCACTTCAGCCTGCTGACTTGCTCTGCTATGTCGGTTACTCTAGTTCTTCTACGGATCTCCTCATTTCTGATTCTATCTTGTAGAGAAACCCCGGGCATTATACTTTCCATAGCGCGCTGTGCGACCGCGAGGTTCCTTATGAGGCCCATAGTGATTATTTATAATATAACTAATAAATCTTTCCTTTGACCCCCCTCATGATAGATTTTATTTCAAAAATACATGCAAGTGTACTAGTGTGCAACATTACTTATCATACACAATTTCTAACTATCACCATATTTTAATATCACCATATTTATTATCAAAATGATGATCTCTACAAAAATACAATTTAAGAAATTGCAAAATGTGATTGCCAAGTTTAATTTTTTTTTAATATTGAATATTCTGGTGCACATTTTTTTACAAGAATACTATTTTAAGTTAAATTATTTTTAGTGGTTTACTCCAACAGAAGTTTTAGAAAAAAGTGTTAAAAAAGAGTTGCTTCTCTACCCACCTCAAGCATATGAGCTTAAGAGATTGTCATATTTGCCTAATATAAATGAACTCTTAACATTTTCTAAAAATAGGAGTTGCCAGGGTAATGAGTTACTTTATCCAATTGTTGTCAAAGCTAAGGATGGCCTCCTTCAATTACTTCCAGGTACTGTTATGATTAAATTAACCATATTATTTGTTTTAAGTGACAAAACTATTTATTGGCCAGAAAAGTATAACCAATGTGCCAAATTATACATGTAACCACAATAATTATCTTTTAACAAATGTGAATCAGTTGCCAATGGTTGTTGAATTTTGTTCTAATATTTTTATTGCTCCTACTATCTATTATTATTTTTCTGTTTCAGGTGATCACCTCTACCCATCCCATGTAAACTATTACACCAATACTGTTATTGAGACAGATAAAACAATATTGGAACTAAGAGAAAATAATCAACCACTCCACAGAATTGAAGTCACTAAATCTGGAAGGCAGTTTGTTATAAATAACTATAAACCTGAAAACCATATCAATATGAATAACATAGTAATACCCTTTCCCCTGATAACAGTTTAAATAGTATTTAATGCAGTTTTGCTTAAGACATTTATCGTATCAAATAAAAACAACTTGAAAGAATAGTAATTACCACTTCCACTGCTGTCTTTGGAAGTTTTTGTAGGGAAAATAAAATGGCGGGTACAGGACATACATGGCCTAACAGCCAAGATGACTATGAACTGCTCGAGGTGATTGGCGTTGGAGCCACGGCAGTAGTCCACGCCGCGTATTGCCAACCGCGTGGTGAGAAATGTGCCATAAAACGGATCAATTTGGAGAAATGGAACACTTCCATGGATGAACTACTGAAGGAGATACAGGCTATGTCAAGTTGCAACCATGAAAATGTTGTCACATATTACACAAGCTTTGTAGTGAAGGAAGAACTGTGGCTAGTCCTAAGACTCCTTGAAGGCGGCAGCTTATTGGATATTATTAAGCACAAAATGAGAATTGCCAACTGCAAACATGGTGTTTTTGATGAGGCCACCATTGCGACTGTTCTAAAAGAGGTGTTAAAAGGGCTTGAATATTTCCACCAAAACGGGCAAATACACAGAGACATCAAAGCCGGCAACATCCTCCTCGGCGACGACGGCACAGTTCAGATTGCCGATTTCGGAGTATCAGCTTGGCTGGCAACTGGCAGAGACCTGTCTCGGCAAAAAGTTCGGCACACATTCGTCGGCACTCCCTGCTGGATGGCGCCCGAGGTTATGGAACAAAACCACGGCTACGATTTCAAAGCAGACATCTGGTCGTTCGGCATCACTGCCATAGAGATGGCCACCGGCACAGCGCCGTACCACAAGTACCCCCCGATGAAAGTGCTAATGCTGACGCTGCAAAACGACCCGCCAACCCTTGACACGGGCGCGGAGGAGAAAGATCAGTACAAGGCGTACGGGAAGACATTCAGGAAAATGATATCGGAATGCCTACAGAAGGATCCCACGAAGAGGCCGTCCGCCACCGAGCTCCTGAAGCACTCGTTCTTCAAAAAGGCAAAGGACCGCAAGTACCTCGTCCAGACGCTCGTTACGATCGGACCTAGTATGGAGACGCGTGTGCACAAGGCGAGCAAGCGCCAACCGGGCGCTTCGGGCCGTCTGCACCGGATGGAGACTGGCGAGTGGGTGTGGGAGAGCGAGGAAGAAGACGACGACGAGGAGGGCGAGAGCGGACGGGACCGGCCCATGAACCAGCTGCCGCGCGCTGACTCGTCGGACAGCGATAGCGAAGCAGAGGGCGGCGCCGGATTCACTATCGGCTCGATACGCGCCGGCGACGCACCGCAGATAGACCTGGTGCTCAGGATGCGAAACGCCCGCAAGGAGTTAAACGACATTCGGTTCGAGTTCGCACCGGGCAAGGACTCCGCCGACGGCATCGCAACGGAGCTGGTGGGCGCCGGTCTGGTCGCGGCCTGCGATGCATCGGCGATCGCTTCGCAGCTGCAGCGGCTGGTGGACGCCAACCTGTTCCCCCCCGCCGGCACCGTCCCGCCCCGCTCGCTCACCTTCCGCCTGGACTCGGCCGACCCCGCGGAACCCCTGGACGAGAAAGGCCTCGTCGGCTACGCTCAGATATCGATCGTAGACTGAACCCACTCCCCGCAGATGGACAATAATCGTTTATAGGTATTAAACTTGACCGTTCAAAGGCTATTCTATAATATAACTATATTGTGTTACGCTATAATTTTAGGTAAACTGCATATTTTATATGGGTGGATATGGAATTATTTTATCGTTCAAAGCTCAAATGATTGTATTAAGTGATAGCAAGGTGAATCTGAATTTATAAGATATTTTTTTTAACATTGTGTTTACTTACTACTCTGTAATTTAAAACACTGTAAGTGATTTATTTTTATTTTGCTTAATGAATTATAATAAAATAATTTCTGCTGTTTACTATAAGATGAATGGAGTGCTTGTTGTGGTATAAAATGACGGATATGTTTTGACATGTGAAACCAAAGTTTTTTTTATTATTCAAAACAACTTGCAGCATACTTATGGGAGTACCTCATCCAATAAAATAATGAGTGTGCCATATATAATCAAACTGACATTATTAAAACTTGATCCAATAAATGTTGTTGCACTATGATGTACGGTTTTACAATATTAGAGTGCTTTTGCGAATGCTTTTATATGATCATTACAGTGTTTATTAAAACTAGCAGATGTATGTAGCGCCACATATGTTCTTTTTATGTTGTTATTTGTTTGTTGCTTATTTTAAAATTATTCTTAAAATAATAAAATGCGAAATGGAATGGCTGGAAGTTTTATTACAACAACTACATGTATCTAGTCTTACAAGTAGTGTCTTATAATAAGATTATTTTATAACACTTTCGCCCTTGAATTTCATCAAAAGAATACCATAATTTCTTGTTTCAAGCAATAAAAGTTTTTTAAACTAAAATAGAGTTTAATGTTGCTGAACATATTTTAACTTCTGCAAATGCTTATCTAAATAAGTTACCAAAGCGAACTTTACAAGCCCTTTATTCTTAACACATGACAGTTCTATCCGAATAAAAGTGGCAATACCCGAAATCATACTTAATATGTATACGTACTTGAAACGCATTACAACAAAAACCGTAAGCACAAATTGTGTTGTAATTGCTCAACCTATGCCTCGAAGGTCCTTAAATTGAATTGCTTCTGGTCAAGCAATGTTCGCTTTGATTGTAAACTTGTCAAGTATATAATCAAAGAATGTCCGCTGACAATTATTTTTATATTTTAAAACTTATGACAAAGGTTGGTAGACAATTTTTGCTTAAAGCAATATAATTTCTTAGAACGACTACTTGACAATAATTGACGAAACGCATTTATCTTTAATGTACTCATTTCAATTACTGTACAGGTAAAATAAAATATTACTCGATTATTTCTAAAGTGCTTGTCTCCTTATTAATACCAAAGCGATTTGAAGGTAAAAAATGCGAATTCTATCTTTCATATCAAAAATTGCTAGACTCAACAATAATATAATTTTAAGGTTGAATGTTATGAACAAAATGATTCCTAAAACTCAACCTTTCAATAACTGAGTTTATACTTCACACCTAAGGTCATATTATGGCCTTATAAGCCTAGCTTCTTTCAAGATGGATTCGTTTCAATATTGAAGATAATTAATTTCTTCTTAAAAAAATGTTTAAATTTCGCTTTATTGCTTGCAAAATATCATTCTTTTACCTTAAAAAACGTCATAAAATAGTAATTTTTCTCTATTTCTTTTAATACTTATATGGTATGATCCTTAGCGGAACATGAGTTAGGTTTTGTGTGGAAGTCAGCTTTTGTCGAGTATTTTAACTGGCGTAGTTATAAACAAGTAGTTATTTTAAACAACACAAATTCATGATATAACCATCACTTAATGCGAAAAGACCTTATTAAACGGTTTTATTTAGCTCGACGTGTACGGAATTTATTTGTTTATTTGGGTCAAAATTAGAAATTGAAATTTAAGCACCTTCCCGGTGTCAGATTGATCTGAAATTTGGTACACACATTTAATTTAGATGACAATACAATATTGTAGTTTTCAGTGCACAAAAAAAAACAGAAAATAAAACCGTTTAACTTTTTAAGTTTTTAAACGGTTTTATTTTATTAGTGTCTATTGACACATTGTATCGACTTAAAGTAGCCAATACAAAAAAATATTTAACATCAATAATTACATTAAAAATGTGTTAATTAGCTTCATATATGGCGTAGTTTTTATTTAGCAATAACAAGATTGTAATGGGATTCATAAGTTGGAATATAAGGATCAGGTAAGTTCTTATATAAATCCTATAGCATAAAAAATTAAGGGAAAAGCTTGTAAATTTAAAAATTGTTACACTAGGTAACTTTGGTCCAGTCCACTTCAGCTAAATATCCTTGATAAAACATTCGAAAAGAGCTGCATGTTAATTATTAGGAATAAATTGTTTATTTAAACTTATAAATGGGTTAAAATATATTATAAAAAAGCACAGTATAATGACTAGTCAATAAATAAGTGTAACAAAAAAATATCTTAACAAACAACATGACAAAAACAATGTATTGGTAATACAGGAACAAAAACAGAAATAAAGCAACGAAAAATATTAAAAAAATAATGTAAGTAGTAATACATGCATAATTCAACAATTGTTACCATCAATATATAAGGTAAAATGCATTCTGGTTTTGGGAGATCTTTATGTAATAGGTAAAAATTTAAGACAAATTTTTAGCAAAATTATTTAAAGAAAAATATAAATGTCACTTATATTTTTCTTTACTTATTGGATAGTGCTATGACATTAGATGCAAAATTTTAAATCTCTACTAAAGTACAATTTTTAAAGTAAATTCTTTGTCATAATCAATACATGTTGAATAAAAATGAAGTTAACGTTTAAATCAAAAGTAACACTGAAAATATAAAAATATGAAAAATGTAATCAGATTGATTCAAAATTCTTTAACTTTTGATTTAAACAAATATGTAATTTACAGATTGATATTTCTTACATGATTGTGTCAAGTATACAATTTTTACAATATATTTTATATTAGGTATATAACAATGAATTATTAATGAATAATAAATAAAAATTAAAATAGTCTCTTGGTAAGTAAAATGTATAATAAAGCAAATCTTTCGAGATAATCAAAGCAACAACATTGGAATGTCATGTAAAATATAAATGCAAATAAGTAAAGCATTTCTTTAAGATGTCGAAAACGCAACATTTCTTATACTATGTTATTTAATTAAAGCTATTGAAATCTACGCGAGATAAAGGCTTAAGTAACTTGTCATAATTGCAGAATAATTATTCTCAGACACACTTATTGTAATTGCTTCATTTTCTTATTTAGCCGTGACAGATTTGATCCGAACAATTGCTAATTTTTGAGGCTCCCACATTTCCTATTATAGGCAATGGCGATAATTTTTTTTTTTTTATAATAATTGTACGACAGTTAAGCTTTTGAGGCACAATGACTAGCAAATGTTTTACATCAACTTTCTATTACAAACAGATGCATTTTACACCTATCATATATTATATGAAGTACATACAGAATAATAACAGCAGCAGAGAACAATAAAGTTTTATATCTTAATAAATTTAATTCAGTTAACTTAAAATCAATATGCTTTTATCAATTGTGGTTTATAACTTTGGAGATAAATTTAGATTTCACCAAAAATTATGTAGAAGATAAATAATAAATATTTAATAGTTTTCAGCAATAATATGTAAATTGTATTGCTCTTATATTGTTATTATGTATAAGTTTAGCCTTCTTCCTCTGATTGTAACTGCTGTCAGCAAATATTCCACTCGGTTTTTAAGCATGTTAATAAACAACCTAAATTTTACTCTAATTTGTACACACGTTAGGCATGAGTTAAATATGGCGAGGTCTGTGCGTAGAGTAAGCGTGAGTGATCTTATCTAATACAATAAATATCTTAAATACAATCTATTAAAATAGGTACTTTGTTCGAAAAATTGCTAAATCGTGTTAAATCGGTCAAAACGCATCTAGTTATTTTGGCTTTTTCATATTGGCATCTTCAGAGTGTGTTAGTTCAGAGTCAGTTATCTCTTTACTTCTGGACTATATACAAATGTGGTTGAGATGGACGCGATATAATTCGAGATTCGCATTGACGTTAATATTAGTGAGATTGACAGTAATAAATGAAAAAAAATATCAGTGAATGCAAGATGTCACGTCACTCAAAGTGAATGCTAACAAGAATTTAATTATTGGACACCTAAACACTACATAACAAGCATATAACAAGATTTTGTTCTGAGATTGCATAGTCATAATTTGATTGCAAGTGCGATGATACTAAACTAATAATAAACAGTCACGGACTGGTAATTAATTGACTATAGACAAAATTCACACAACACAAAAAGTGGCATTGTGGCCAGTACAAAGCCTACATTAAAATCGATGAAATGAAATAAAAGTCTTGCCTTTAATAAAACGATCGTAGACGTCATCCTATGATACAATACAGTATCACAGCGTTATCGAAGCCGCCACGTGCTGCGCGCTCAGCAGGTTAAAGCAAACGAGAGGAAAGCGAAATCTCTGTTCCAATCAAAAAAGTTCAACGACCTTCCTCTTTAGGTACTCCTTAAGGGGCGCGTAGTAGTGGTGGCGGAGGGAGACCAGCTCGGGCTTCCGCTTGAGGGGCCGGAGGGGGGGCCAGTCGGTCTCGAAGAGCAGGAGCGCTGCGAGCGCGAGCGAGAGCCACACGAACACGAACGAGGGCACGAACGCGCGCAGCAGGCTGAAGGGGCGGGGCGGCGGCTGCAGGGCGGGCCGCGCCCACTCGTCGCTCGCGTGCGCCGCGTGCGCGCCGTGCGTCGCGTGCGAGCCGTGCGTCCCGTGCGAGCCGTGCGTCGCGTGCGTCCCGTGCGTCGCGTGGGTCGCCCCCGACTCGGTGGACGAGTGCTCGAACGGATCCCTGGTGCTGTACTCCGGGCACGAGCCTGGAATCACGTTAGTCACATATACGATATGTTCCGCGACAAATGTTCCAAATAGGAGAGGAAGATGGGGCTGTGTTGGCATTGTGTGGTTGTCCCTTTCCAATCCCATACAATAAGGAATAAATATTTTATAAGGAGGCTTTAGTAATAGTAGCCTTTTGCACACAACAAACTTACTGAGATATTTCAATACAGTAAATAAAACCATAACGTGGTTTTTCATGGATTGCTACTGGGCCACGGGGTCATCGAGTCGAGACGAAATACATACAAAATGTATGGATGGATGTTTGTTACAATTTCGCGCAAATACTACTGAATAGATTCTAATGAAACTTTACAATAATATAGCTTATACATCAGAATGAAACATAGGCTATAATTTATATACATATTATATGTATATCTGTCTTTCTGTCTTAATGTTACGCCTTCAGCCTACTCTACGCAGACGTAGTCGCGGGCAGCAGCCAGACAATGATGGATAGAGATAACACCTTGGGGCTTGTCACAGCAGGCGAGTGCGATGTCGACGGCGGGCCCGCTCAGCAGGCAGCCGCCGTCGCAGAGCTCGGCCTCTGGCACCCCACCTGGGCCCATGCCGCTCTCCTCCAGCGGCGCGCTGTGCGTGGAACGCGGCAGGCTGCTGTACCCTGAGGGAAAATATCCAATGTAGACCATTTGCAGACCTTTTTTTTGGTATGGGGGGGGTATCGGGGGAGACCATTTGCAGAGCCTTCGACAAATTAAACGTGATTACTTTTTGTGTCTTGTTATGTTTTTTTTAATTACCTTATTTATGTTCTCTTATGCCTCTGCTATGTCGAATCTGTTTGATAACTGAACCACTTAATAATTTTCCTTTATTTATATTGACATTGGGAAATAACTATGAACTGTCGTAAGGAAAAAGAAGAATCTTGATAATATACCCTATACAGCGTGTCGTTACAACCGCGACAATAAATGAACACGCGTCTACTAACGCTACTTGCCAATAATCATAAAAAATATAAGCGTTAAAAAAATCCATAATTGAAAAAATATTTTTCGAACAAACTAATTAAATAAAAAAGAAACAAAATTTGTAACATTCTATACAACTACAACTGACCGATTCATACAATCAGAGACTTTTTTCATCCATTGCCACAGCGTCGCATTACAAATCTCTCCTTCTAACAGTATGTTTTATCTTTTTTTAATTCATTCAACCCATTTATATGCTTAGGGGCCTTTACAAATGAACTTTACGTTACACTTTTATACGTAAGGATGTTCTAAAATTGTTTGTTTTGGAAAATTTTATAACTCTGTAAATATTGATGTTTAAAGAATGTAAATGTTTAATATAATTCAACTTGGCAATATGCTTAAGAAGATATTCATAGAAGACTGCATTCTTTTACTAAAATAATATATATTATATTTTTCATGTTTTTATACCAAAGTCGCCAGTCATCGGGGTAGATGGCGTGGCGGGAACACTTGACGCTTTTCTCTTGCCGCCAGCGCTGGAACCCTCCTCCTACAAGTTTAAAACATGCAGTTTTTTTTAAAACCCATATATTAAGAAAAAGAATAAAGTGTGTAAAGTCCATTAAGGGAGACCTCCCGACGAAAGTAATCACTCAAGAGTGTGTCATTGAGATTGACATTTTTATATTGAGGACTAGACGAGGGTGTCTCGAGGTGGATCATTAGCTACTGTAAGTGTCATCAAATTTACTAATATTGGGCATGGTATATATAAAAACCTGTTTCCACGACGCTGTAAAATGTTTCGAACGTCACGCATTTAATAGTTTAAATTTGACAAGTTCAAATTTAATTTCTTTCTGACCCCCCCACACTAGGCAATTCCTGCCCTATGGGGTTAAAAAAAAATTTCTAAACAGGGCCCCCGAGATCCCCTTGACACTCCCCCCCCACCCGACGGATTTTTTCCACGTAAAAATAAGGATTTTTTCCACGTGAAAATAAGGATTTTTTCCACGTGAAAATAAGGATTTTTTCCACGTGAAAATAAGGATTTTTTCCACGTAAAAATAAGGATTTTTTCCACGTAAAAATAAGGATTTTTTCCACGTAAAAATAAGGGTGGTCACATTGGCGAGCTGACCTGGTGGTCGCGCGGCGCCAGGAGCCCGTCCCGCTCGAGGATCTCGCGCTCGGTGCGGCCCACGTACTTGAACTTGGTGCCCCACGAGAACAGCCCGCCGCCAGAGTACACGCACGCGTCCGACGACGAGGGCAACCTGTCACGTCGCAGAACAACATCCTTACTTCCTTACTAACATTATAAACGCGACAGTTTGCATGTATGGATAGCTGTTTGTTACCCTTTCGCGCAAAAACTACTGAATAGAACTTAATATAACTTTACATTAATATAGCTCATACATCAGAATAACACATAGGCTATAATTTATAAAGATATTGTGTGATAGGTGTAAACTAAGTAGGAAAAAATTCAGCCATCCGCGAGATATTCTGGTGTATAATAAAAAACTCATTGTTAATTTCCTTTAGCCGCGCGGGCGAAACTGCGGTTAAGGCTATTTATAGTTTTTTCAGTCAGTATATTTTTTTTAATAACTTGGCAAGTCATACTAAGTATGTTTCAAAGTCAAAAATTTCTTAATTCAATATAGCTATACTTTTAGCTCTTGTGATGATGATGAACTTCAAAAAAAAAATCTATCACCCGTTCAATACTACACGAAAATATTACAAGCCTGACTAGGGAAGAACCGGCAAGAAACTCTGTGGTCTTTCTATCTCGTGTTTTTAAATGACACAATTATACAAACTTATTAAAGTATGAAATCAGCAGCAACTAGGGGAATTGTAAGTGCAGTGCAAAAGTAATTTCCACACATCCTTTAATATAATAATGTCAAGTAATAAAATAATTTCAAGTACATATTAAGCCCACTATTTTGTCCGTTGTTCAGGTAACAACAACGGGATGCATGTTGTTATTCTACTTACTGTTTAAGTCATTTGTACTGGTCAACTCACCATGTTCTATCACTGCATCTTTACAACTCAGAAGTGGGATAATTATCTACGTGCCTGATGCTGCGGTTTCCTGAACGAAGAACTGTGAAAGGTCAGAACTCAACGAATTCTACCGTCATTTCGAGATTTATAACGAATGTTGTAAAGATGCACCCCGAATTTACACTTAAAAGTAAAGTAAAGTAACATCCTATATATGTCCCACTGCTGGGCAAAGGCCTCCTCTATACAGAGGGTATCAGGGCATAAGTCCACCACGCGGCCCCACTGCGGATTGGCGGACTTCACATATCTTCGAAATATATTTTTTTTTGTAATTATTTCGAAAATATGCAGGTTTCCTCACGATGTTTTCCTTTACCGCGGAGCACGTGATAAGTCAGCACTTAAAGTGAAAAACTTCATTGGTGCCGGCACCGGGGATCGAACTCAGGTTGCTCGAGTATATTGAATTGTCGAATATTATGAAAAGAAGAGCGCCCGGACACTGAGCTATCACGGCTCTTTTATGAATTATTATTTGAATTTACACTTAAATTATTATAATCACTTCTAATATAATTAACTCCATTCACTAGCTCAAAGCAACTCAAGACAACTTGTTACTTCTATCACTCCAAAACGTCTATTGCCGGTAAGCAACAACCCAACAGCCTTTTAAATTGTCGTAGGTGTTGCCAATATAAAATAATAGAAATACTCTAGATCTGTATTGCCTAATAAAATATTAAAAGCTTAATTTTTGTGTTTGCTAACACGATGTTGTATTTAATAGTACTTACGTAAAGAACAACATTTGCTCGATTGCGCAACACCACACATGTCGGCACGCGGCGCCGCTTGGACATTTAAAGCCTACTGTATGCTTTTTCTGAAACAATGAAAATCATTGCTAAGTATTATAAATATTTATGCATAGAACATGTTTTAGAAATATGTAATAAACAGCGTGTCGTTACAACCGCGACAATAAATTAACACACGTGTAACGCTACTTGCCAATAATCATAAAAAAATATTAACGTTAAAAAAATCCATAATTAAAAACAAATATTTTTCAAACAGACGAATTAAGTAAAAAAGAAACAAAATTTGTAACATCCTATACAACTGACTGATTCATACATTCAGAGACTTTTTAATTTGTTGCCACAGCGTCGGATTACAAGCCTCTCCTAATAATATGTTTTGTCTCTTTTAAATTCATTCAAATCATTCATATGCTTTGTGACCTATACCAATAAACTTTACGTGACAGTTATACGTAAGGGTGTTCTAAAATTGTTTGTTTTGGAAAATTCAATAACTCGGTAAATATTGTTGTTTAAAGAATGTAAATGTTTAATACAATTTTAAAAAGTTATCCTCTATATGTGTGTTCATTTATTGTCGCGATTGTAACGACACGCTATACGCGTCAACGTATATAGCGAGCTGTGTTTGGTAGCCAAGTGATCCTCCAATTATGTAAGTTTCATTTAAATTACATACCGTTATTTGTAAATATACTACTATTTTATTTGATATTTTTAAACATACTTATTTTTTAATAACATCATTATCATTATCAAAATTTCAATATCCCGTACGTAATATCAAATGAATAGTATACAATATTCAATGCTTAAGCATTGAATATAAGAAAATATTCAACACTTAGCAAAAAGGAATAGTTGTACATCCAAACATGGGCATTCACCATTCAATGTGAATGTCGCTTTTTGTAGAAGAGGATCCAGAAGTAGAATCTTCAAACTCACTTCAGGATAGTTGAGGTGCACGATGAACATCCGACCCTCAAAATTGATCTTGTTCACCTCGGACCATTTGAAGTGGTGGGTCTTTCGGCTGCCTTGGAATGTCAATATGCCACCATGATTGATGCCCAAGTACAACTGATTCCCTCTGTGGTCCTGCAAATGACATTTATTTATTTATATCCAACATAATTAAACACTAACGCCCGGTTTCTGAACACTGATCATTGTAGAAGTCTGCAGCTGATTAGTTAACTTCTATGATGTACAGTGTTTCAGAAACTGGGCATAAGACACCAAAAAATTACGACATGGAGAAGACAATTGCATGGATACTGATTCAACAATATATTCCACCAGTGTATTCTATTATGTTGATTCTATTATTAGCTTAAGTTATTACAGCTCTAAGCTTGTTATAACATAAAATTTGTTTTCTTAGAGATAATATGCCGACCAAAGAAATAAAAAATAACCTTCACGGGGTGTGGATCAACTCCATAGGTATCCAACTGACATGCTATCTTCAGGAAGGTCCTTTCAGCTTCTTGTGTGGAGAGACCTTTAACACCCCCAGCACCACAAGGAGTACCTTCCACTGGCTCTCTGTGCAGCTCCTGAAAATGACCATTTCAATGTTTAAAACATAATAAAATAAACAGTTAACATGTTATATGAGGGTTAGAAAGACTAATTATATCGTTATGAACACACAAAGGAACTAACGCCATCTAGCGTCAACTATTAAAACCACTAAAGAACAAAGACGACATAAAACCCCCTATTCAACACTAGATGGCGTTAGAGGAACTGCTGTGGAACTATAGTCTCGAAAACCGGGTACATTCGCTTTCCGGAATCACGAACATGTTCGTGCGTGTCGGGTACGTTCCAGGAATGATCTTTCTGGATTAGTCGGGAACCGGTCTCGGCCCATATAAAAAGCCGCAGGGAGGCGAGCGATCACAGTTCAGTTTGAGCTACCTTCGAGGCGACTTCGGAGCGAAAACTAGTGATCAAGAGCAATACCAGTGAAACCTACGACTTGGCTACAATCTAGGACATCGTTAGTGCTTAGTGTTTGGACCTAGTGCTTTGTGTTGGACCTAGTGCTATTGAATAAAGTCTTCAAAAGAGTCAGCAGGTCTTTCTCTCCAAATCCTTTGAACCCCTAACACGTAACAACTGGTGTCAGAAGCGGGATTTGGAGATGCCATTGACTCCGAGAGAGGACTTCAAGGAGGGTGTCAGGACAAGGGCACGAGCTGCGGAGGCCACACCCACTGTGGACCAAGCCCCGCCCACTGTGGGGCAAGCCCCGCCCACTGTGGGGCAAGCCCCGCCCACTGGCCCCACCGACCACGCCCCTCAGACGCCCATTCATGCCCAAGCCCCGCCCACTCGGGCTCAGTCCCCGCCCCCTTTGGCGCTGGCACCGCCCACTGGCCCCGCCCACCTTGCCACGCCCACCAGCGGCACCGTGACTTCTGCAGCCCCTGAAGTGGCTCTTCAATTGGGAAGTTTAATTGAACTAATTAGCGCTTTGCAAGTCACAAGAACGCAAGTTCGGCGCTTTGCAAGAGTCACAAGAACGCAAGTTCGGCGCTTTGCAAGAGTCACAAGAACGCAAGTTCGGCGCTTTGCAAGAGTCACAAGAACGCAAGCTGACTACGATTCAAGAGTTTCAAAAGGCTGAAATCAGAGCGATTCGAGAATCACAAGAGAACAAAAAGACCTCCAAGAAAAGGCGCTTTGGGCTATAAATGATGTTAGTAACACGGTGATTAAACTTCGAAAAGATGTCGACGTAGTGGAAGAACGAGTTACAGGGTTAGGATTGGATGTTGAAAATGTGAAAACCGGCCTCACCGAACTACAGAAGAAAGTAGTGCGCCTTGAAACCACGGGAATCGCGATGCCTAGTGGCACTACTGGAGTGGCACAAGGACCAAAAGTGAAAGTGCCGCCATACGACGGCACTACTTCTTGGCACGTTTATCGTCGGCAATTCCAGACTGTTGCTACTGCCAACGGATGGACGGAAGAGCAATGCCTGACCGCTCTCACTGTTGCGCTCAGAGGGCAAGCTTTGTCGGTCCTGGAAGCACTGCCACGTACAGGAAATGGGTTCCAAGACCTGATGGAGGCACTTGAATCCAGATACGGGGAGCGACACCTGGAGCACGTGTTCCGTGCCCAACTGCGTGACCGAATCCAACGCTCAGGAGAAGGACTACAACAATGGGCGTTGGAAATTGAAAAACTCGTCAGGAAGGCACACCCAGGAGCCGACACCAAGATGGTAGACACGAATATTGTTCAAGCATTTGTGGACGGAATCAAAGACCTGGAGGTCAGAGCTGCAGTGAGGCTTCGTCACCATACCTCGCTAAAGGAAGCACTGGCGCATGCTTTAGAGGTCGAGGCTGTTCGCCATGACATACGGCAGACCCATAAGATCCGCGAGGTCTCTGAGGAAGTCAAGTAGGTTAAGGCTCCTACAAAGAAAAGTTTTGGAGCTATGTGTTACAAGTGCGGCGAGAGGGGCCATCTGCAGCTCAACTGCCCGCAGAAGGAGACCCAGATGGCAAGGATGAAATGGATCGAGGAACAAATAGCGGAGCTGAAGAAGCGAGAGGCTTCGTCCCCTGCCCGGGATCAGGGAAACTAATAAAAGCCAGTACTAAGGGGCGAGTACTGGCTGACGCGGAGGAGGCCCTGATAACTGTTATCTCCCAGGCATGCAGCGGGAATAGCCTTGTGATTCAGGGTACTATTAGTGGGACGGATTGCAAAATGACTCTAGACACAGGAGCCTCTAGAACAATAGTGAACCCTAATCTGGTAAAAGCCGCAAGGGGACTCAAAAGGAGAATTAACTGCCGGCTTCTTACTGCCTCCGGTCAGCCAATACCCGTCCTGGGAGAAATGTCAGTCACGATGTATGTAGGGGGGTCCTCATACTCTCATAACGTCATCGTGGCTGAGATAATGGATGATTGCATCTTGGGTTTGGATTTCATGAGGAAACACAACTGCAGAGTTAATGTCGCTGACGGAGTTTTCAAATGTGGTGAAGAAGAAATCTTCATTCTTGGAGGCGCCTGCGGGAAAGTCGCATGTGTAAAGAAAGTCATTATACCTGGACGAGCGGAAGCTCGGGTGCTGGTGAAACTGCCGCCAAATGGAAAGAAAAAGTCAAACAGATGCATTAATCGAAGACACACCTACCAAGACATCGGCACAAAAACTGATGACGGCAAGAACCCTTGTTAGTGGAAGCAGTAACGCTGTGGTCAAGGTTTTGAATCTCTGTGATCGCGAGGTCTGCTTGAACAAAGGTGACGTCATTGGAAAGTGCGAGGAAGTTGTCTGGATGAAAAAGTGTAGTTCGACGACAGGCGCAGACCCAGCAAACAGCAACAACTACGGATTAGTGACTGAGCTACTCGATGACTGCAAGAGTAATCTGACTTATTCACAGGGCATGAAAGCTAGGAAGTTTTTACAGCGCTACGCGAATATCTTCTCCAGTCAAGAAGGGGACCTTGGAAGAACTTCGATGGTTCAGCACAGGATAGATACCGGAAGCGAAAGACCAATTCGTCAACGAGCAAGACGGATACCAATTGCAAAGGAAAAAGAAGTTGAAGGCCTTTTGGAGGACATGAGAAGGAATAAGATTATTGAACCGTCTACAAGTCCGTGGTGCTCACCTGTTTGTGTTAGTGAAGAAGAAAGATGGTAGCACGAGATTTTGTGTGGACTATAGGCGTCTCAATGATGTCACTAAGAAGGACAGTTACCCGTTACCTCGAATCGACGACACTTTGGATACCTTAAGTGGCATGAAATGGTTCTCGACCCTAGACCTGAAATCTGGATACTGGCAGGTGGAAATTCATCCAAAAGACAAGGAGAAGACAGCTTTCTCGACCGGTAAAGGTTTATGGCAATTTAACGTCATGCCCTTCGGATTGTGCAACGCACCTGCCACATTTGAGCGACTCATGGAGTGTGTACTTGCACGCTTAGTTGGAGAGGCTTGCTTAGTTTACTTAGATGACATCATCATTGTCGGCCGTGACTTCGAGGACCATTTGCGAAACTTGGAGCGAGTTTTCGCCAAAATAGAGGGAGCCAAATTAAAGTTCAACCCGAAAAAGTGTCATTTATTCAGGAGCAAGGTCAACTATCTCTGCGATGTTATCTCCAATGATGGAATCCAGACAGACCCAGAGAAACTGGAAGCAGTTCAAAAATGGCCTACCCCTAAGGACAAAACCGAAGTGCGAGCATTCCTCGGCCTATGCTCATACTACAGGCGTTTTGTTAAGGGATTCTCAGAGATAGCCAAGCTATTACACCGGCTGACAGAAGATAAACGACAATTTAGTTGGGATGGGACTTGTGAAGATTCTTTTCAGAAATTGAAGAAACATCTATGTGAAACACCAATCCTGGGGTATCCACAATCTGAAGGTCAGTTTATAGTCGACACGGATGCAAGCAACACGGCCATTGGAGGGGTGTTATCTCAAAAACAGGGTGAAAGAGAAAGTTGTTATCGCATATTTCAGCAAATCTTTATCCAAGCCAGAGAGAAACTACTGTGTGACAAGAAGAGAACTCTTGGATGTTGTAAAGACACTACAACATTTCAACAAATATCTCATCGGCAGACAGTTTTTACTGCGAACTGATCACGCAGCCTTGAAGTGGCTACTGCAATTCAAGAACCCAGAAGGTCAAGTAGCTCGATGGATTGAACAGCTCCAGGAGTATGACTTCAAGACGGAACACCGCAGTGGAAAGACGCATGGGAATGCCGACGCACTCTCACGAAGGCCGTGTTCAGAAGACTGCAACCATTGCGTCAAACAGGAATCTAATGAAGTAACATTAAAGCTAACGAGAACAAGTCCTTTGGGTCTCTGGGAGAATGATGCTATGAGGGAGGCTCAAGAAAGAGATGACGACCTTCGGCACATCATCACATGGAAGAAACGGGGTGACGTAAAACCAATCTGGAGTGAGGTTGCTCCCACTGGCGCCGTCACAAAGGCGTACTGGGCGCAATGGAACAGTCTGATAGTTCAAAACGGAATACTCTACCGGAAATGGGAGAAGACTAACGGAAGAGAGTTCCATCTTCAGATAATTGTCCCGAGAACGAGAGTACCAGATGTTCTCCGTGAAATACATGATGGCGTATCAGGAGGTCATCTAGGTGTCAAGAGGACGTTAACAAAAGTGCGAGAACGATTCTACTGGTTGCACTGTCGAGATGATGTACAGGATTGGTGCCGCAAATGTACTACTTGCGCTGCTATAAAAGGACCACAGACCAGAAGCCGTGGGAACCTGCGGTTGTATAACGTCGGTGCACCGTGGGAACGAATTGCAGTTGACGTAGCTGGGCCATTTCCTGTAACGGAGTCGGGAAACAAGTATTTTATGGTCGTCATGGACTACTTCACCAAATGGCCCGAAGTGTTCGCCATACCAAACCAAGAAGCTACAAGTCGAAGAAGTGATATGTCGCTTTGGTGTGCCTCTAGAAATCCATTCCGATCAAGGCAGGAACTTCGAATCGCAAGTATTCCAGGAAGTGTGTAGAATTTTGGGCATGCATAAGACGAGGACCACCGCGTGCCACCCACAGTCTGATGGAATGGTTGAGAGATTTAACCAGACCCTTGAGAGGCATCTGGCGAAATTGGTAGACGACAAACAAAAGGATTGGGACAAGTATATACCACTCTTCCTTCTGTCGTACCGAACCGCCGAGCATGAGAGCATAAAAGCTACCCCGGCGTATGTCAATTACGGTAGAGAACTACGATTACCAGTAGACCTATTGACAGGAGGGTACCGGAGGGACCAGAGACCGTACAAGACTATGTCTGCAATTTAAGAAAAAAAATGCGCTATACACACGCCTTGGTTCGGGAAAATGGGTTACAGTCAAGTGAGAACATGAAAACCAGATACGACCGGAAATCGAACACGGACGGCTTCGACGAAGGGTCACTGGTGTGGCTGCATAACCCAACTCGTCGGAAAGGGAAATCCCCAAAGTTGCAGACCAAGTGGGACGGTCCATACAAAGTGGTTACCCGACTGAATGATGTGACTTATAGGATTCAAAAGCAACCAAGAGGGACATTCAAAGTGGTACACATAGACCGTCTGGCGCGTTACCATGGCAGTAACAATGATGCTCGGGACGAGCATCTCTAAGAGGGGAGTAGTGTTATGAACACACAAAGGAACTAACGCCATCTAGCGTCTACTATTAAAACCACTAAAGAACAAAGACGACATAAAACCCCCTATTCAACACTAGATGGCGTTAGAGGAACTGCTGTGGAACTATAGTCTCGAAAACCGGGTACATTCGCGAACTTTCCGGAATCACGAACATGTTCGTGCGTGTCGGGTACGTTCCAGGAATGATCTTTCTGGATTAGTCCGGAACCGGTCTCGGCCCATATAAAAAGCCGCAGGGAGGCGAGCGATCACAGTTCAGTTTGAGCTACCTTCGAGGCGACTTCGGAGCGAAAACTAGTGATCAAGAGCGATACCAGTGAAACCTACGACTTGGCTACAATCTAGGACATCGTTAGTGCTTAGTGTTTGGACCTAGTGCTTTGTGTTGGACCTAGTGCTATTGAATAAAGTCTTCAAAAGAGTCAGCAGGTCTTTCTCTCCAAATCCTTCGAACCCCTAACACGTAACAATATTAAACTCTAATGGCTTTGTATTTGGATTTCAAGTGATCAATTAAAATGAATGCAAAAATAATGCATAATGAACAACGAAAAAGTTACCGATTCTAAATGCACTTTTAGATTTATTTTACTTCTGTACAGCCCATAAAGTTAAGTGGTGATAATATCTACCCTTCAATTAAAAAAAATAATGTACCTTATCAGAATGTTCTGCGAAAACTGTAGGAAAATATTATTCAAAATTCATTGCTGATTGTTTAAATGAAAGAGACGAAATATAAATATTTTTAAACCAAATTAGACGTTTTTTTAGGATTGGATGGGAAGTAAATATGGCAATTAGAATTAATTTACTTTACACAGAACGTATATAAAAATATAATGAAGTTAAAATTAAATAAATTTTTTTCACTGTCTGCCTCATTTGAAATGCTTCTAATGTGATAAATGTCCAAGGTAAACATACAAAGGGAGGCCATTCCGGCCATTTCTCACCTGTATTCTAGACTCGATGGCATCTGTTTGTCTCAACAGGAGCCGCATTTCAGTGACGTAATTGCCCACGTGAATGTTCGGGTCGTAGTCGCCGAGTTCGACTGGAACATTTAATTTGTATCAGTTAATAGGTTTATTTAATTCTTGTAATATTCGTTTAAGAAATTCTTTTTTTTCATGAGTTAGGATTGTAGGTTCGCGGCCTCGTTACTAAAATAAAATACATATTTTATTTTATTGTACATACAAAATATCTACCATCTACCTATATACATTTCTCTCACTTGTTTTCAAAAGCTTTTATTCCTGTCTTACAAAATGATTCACATATGATTCTTATATTTTTTTTAAAAACAAGAACTTGATGATCTCATGTTAAATTTTCTTAATGTTATAATAAATTTCATTCTGTGGTAAAGCCATGTGGCAGGCTCGTCCAGATGAGTACCACGGGCTCACAGACGACTCTTCAAAGGCCACTTATGCGAGTGTAAATTGGTAATTTTTTTAATACTTATCCTGCATGAAATCGCTGTGCACGCCACTGATAGACAGCGGTAATCACTTAGCATCAAGTAAAACATTTGCTTGTTCACTAACTTTTTTGGTGCAACCGTAGAGTTCTATCACAGTAGTTTACTTTAGTTACGAGCCAATGAATGAAACATACTTTGAATTATCAGTGCACCCAGCATTGCTGCTTCATTTGATGTGCAGTACAGACGTCCATGCAGAAGGTCTCGCTTCAACTGCAGATAAATTTGGAATCGGGTGACATCTTCTTTCAGCAGCAATGGATTTGGTGGATAGAATTTCACACGGAAGCTGAATAGTATCGGCGAGGCATCTGGATATGTAAGACAGAAAAATAATGAAAGATGTTAGTGACTAAAAATTATTATGGCCAATCAAAATTAAATATAAGCACACCAACAATGCTAGACCTCAATATACCATAAGCTCCTTTTGTGTAGATCGGAATAATATGAACAACAAAATAATTGACAGTAGCCCAGGTTAACATTAACATCAAGACAACGACAAAAGTGTAACAACTTAGTCTGTCCTGTGAACATGAAAATCAAAATTAAAACACGATAAAATCCATAAACTAGTTTAATTTAAAATAAATAAATGTTTCAAAAGAACTACCAGTCCACAATGAGGATAGTATGACTGGTGGACTATGAATAAATACTGTACAGTGTCATTTGCTCCATAATGCGACTTATGTCTTGGGCCGTGGCTTAAGGCTGATTTTGCTTTGACCTTGTACGCACCTCAAGAGCTAATAAATAAACGCTAATTATGTGTTTACAGCCTGGTGTGATCACCTTTTCATAATACTTTATGACCTACCTAATTCTACCTATCAATTAATAGCTAAATGTAGTTGATGGAATTTACTTGAAGATTAATAAAATAAAGTATGAGGATAAATTATATAAAAAAAATTCCAGAGGAATTTAATTTTAATTAGTAGTTCTGTACTTCAGAGGCATACAATAGTAACTCCACATTTTTCAATATTATTTTTCTTACACCATTAAAAACGCTAAAACAAATTCTACACAATAGTTTAAGCATTAATTCCTACAATGCATATTTCATAAAATATCCAATCATATATGACATCATAATCCATAATGCATTCAAGGATTCACTCACACATTTTTGCTTCTCCTGTAAACTTTGTTTTTGTCACATAATGCTGTTTACCTCTGAGGTACAGAGTTATTAATATTACCTTACTAAATTTCTTACAATTTTTTATATATTATTTATTTATCATTAAATTAAAAATAATTCATGTGTATATAAATATAGAAAAACTTAAATACTTTACAATAAAATATTTACCTTTTACTTGCTTCAGTATTAATTTAGCCATGTGCAGCCAATGCTGAAAAGTTACATAAAAATACAGTGACAGTCTAGCTAGATGAAAATTTTTCTAGAAGAAATTTAGTAATTATATTATATTAAATATTTTACCTCTAACTTAGGTATAATTAGGAAAACAGTATGATATTGAAAGTAATGTTAAAAAAAATGATAGACTCATTAGTGCTGAGACTCCAAATCCTGTTGTAAAATTCCCAAGGCACTTATGGCTACTATTTTGCATAATAAACAATATTGGAACAACAAGTTGCTGTAATTTTGTTATTTTTCCTTAATGAAGTAAAATAAATTTGCTCTAAAGCTCTTCCTAATATAGAAAAACATGTAAATTTTAATACTATACTTTATTGGCATTTGATCAAACAATTAATGGATAATTGTTTATAATAGGGGCACATGCAATTTTCGTATACAAATATTTAATGTGAATAATAATGTTTTAGTATCCCTATATTCTCCAAATTACTGATAAAACTGAGTTTTGTACACTATGGTGGATTTTCTTAGCATTGCAAGATTTATTTATTTTTTCTCAAAACCTAAATGTCGACACTTATTTTTACTTTATAATTATTATTTCGGGTATGTTTCTCTATGGATTAAAATTATTTGTATAAGGAAAATGTGCATGCCCAATGTAAACAATTACCAATGTGCCTCATCAATATTACATTATATCCTAAAAATTATTAACAATGGTTTAATTTATAGTTATAATCCAATGGCATGGAAAACATTTCAAATTCAATGTCTCTAATATTGAAAAAACTAAAGTTAAGTTTAAATTTTAGAAACCACTCGCCATAAAATAAAAAAAATAAATAAAAGCCAAAAACTGAAAACTATACTGACAAAATGACTGAAAATCATAACAACTAAAAGTTATAATAGAAGAGATTTTTTTTCTCACCCTTTGGCCAGCAGAGTCTACATATCGAAGTCCAAAATAATCTGTTTCTGTCAAATTCAATTGTTGACACACATGCTCCAGGAGAAACTTTCCCTTATAACTGGGCTGAAATAACAGTTTCTAGTTTAATGCCTATGTGGCCTTTTTATTTTAATTAAAGATTAATGGTTTTGGCCCAATAACATGTCCCTTATTAACTATCTATAAATTGCATTCATCTTATTGTCGATAAGTTACAAATATCTAGTTCGCGCTCATATATTAATACGCAAAATTTCTATGACAATGTAATATTGCAATTTACAGACACCATTGGATATCATTCGTCTTAATCATTTAAATATTGTCTAAAAATATGATTTTCGATAAATTTTAATTTAACTTCAATCTTACACCAGGGCTGTGAAAGGTTGATAATGTGAATGAAAAATAAACAAAATAATTTAAGGTAAAATACATATACTAATTAGATATCTACATATAATACTTACATGAAATTCACACTCCAATATTTCAGTATCTTCTAATAAGCGAACAGTACATTTATAAACAATATTACTGTCACCACGGCTTTTAAACATAATGCCGATATTGGTATTCCAAAAAAAGATTCGTTGAGTGGATAATCGTATATCAATATGGCATTATAAGATAAAAAAATCTTCCATTGAGTAGAACGTTTATTTATTTATGTAAAGTTAACCTAAACAATAAAGTGCATTTTACTATTATTTTGTATTTTTTTTTTCTGATTGGAATTTTTCTCGGAGGTTGAAGTGTGCGGGGGGCTACATGCAATTTCCACAGAAAATTAAAACAGAATTGGAACAGAATAAATAAAAATTCCTTATAGAATAGAGATTAAATAGCATTATGTTTAAAATATATAGTTTTATTTTCATATTATCCTGACATTACTTTAATTTAATTTGACATTATTTATAAAATAATGATGTAATATCAAAATATATGAAAAATATAAAGGTTTTTATAATTTTTTAATGTATTACAATATACAAACAAAAAAACCCCGTTTTATTTTTTTTAATACCTAAAAATTAAAATTAAATATAATTACGTAAATATTAAAGTACGAATTTCACCATATTTTGTAATTAATGTCTAAACACTAAAGCAACGTTTCACAACGTTTTACCAGAAGTGACGTTATTGGCTACTTAGTATAGCCAGTTCCTAAATTATTTAAAAATTAAACAATATTCAAATAAATTATAAATATATGATAGATACTTATCTAAATGATAAATACCTTCGAATAATTTTTTTGTTATTATTGCGGAAAATATGCAATGTTTTCCTTCACCGCTGTAATACCCCAGCATCTAAAATAAACAATTCAATTGATGCTGAAGTTATTAATTAAAAACGAGCACCCGGATGATGAGCTCTCACGGCCCATGTAGTGTTCATCGCCGAAAATGAATTATTTTATTTAAGAAGTTAGAAATTTTGCTTATTATAAACATAAATATAACATTATCAGCTGCTTCAAGGTTACTTTGTATAGAAAAGTATAAAAATGTCATCTGAAAATGGTTCTAGTGAAAGCTCGTTTTGATCGATGTAGTATAATTATATTCTGAAGAAGTTGTTTTTTATCCAGTTCGATTTAAATTAAAGGACTTTTTAGCTACAACGCTAACATTAATAATTTTTAAGGTTTAATTTTTACAACCAAATCTTCATTAATTTACTGTATTTGTCTCTCACAACCCTTTTCGATATTTTAATAGTCTAATGATTTTACAAATTCTAGCTATGATTAAAAATATTTATATTATAATTTTATATAAATATTATATAAAATATTTATTTGTTATATTTGAATGGTACCTATATATTAATATGGATCAACAACAAATGTTACTTATTGTTTGTATTTATATAAAAAATAATTTAATATAGCCACACTGAACACCGGACGTGACTCTTTTCCTTCCCTATGTACGACGCGAATCAAAATCCATTTCTCGTCCATTCTGTTGGAGTCTTTCTCGGATATTACACGCTGTCTGTGATCCGTGGTGAGTGTCAAAAGAGAGTTTTTGTGCCGTGAGAAAACAAAGTGATTTATAATTCTTTGATAAAGAATATCGTGTTAGTATTTAGATTTACTTTATTCTGTTATTAATTGTTACGGATTATTAAAAAAGACAAGTACTTGCTCGTATATTAAGTGTTCATCAGAAATCATCGATTTCTGTAAATCGTATTCATAATGACTTTCTTATTTTAAAGTTACACTTAATTTCGCATTAAGCAGTGATAAGTTTTTCTAAATAACGCCTTACCATTTTGTCGTTGCATTTGCTTACGCGTCATACTTTTGCACCGACCGGCACATGTCACCACGTGGTTATGAATCACTTTGTTTTTTTGTAACTTGTCGAGTTCTACTTTACTTTCTTTTTTATCTATTAAGCATTTCTTGAATTTTTGTTGAATATGTATTACATCCTACAATATAATCGTAATGGAAGATCTCCATTGTGAAGTGTCAAGATAGGGCGAGGCGGCCATGCGGCCGCCATATTGCCGGTTGCATATCTGAACATGAGGCTATGACCTTGTGAATGTACATCATCGAAACCTTTTTGCAATATTGACAATTTTTGTTCAATACTATTTTCTTTCTTTTCTAGACTAACCAAAAATGGGCAAGGAAAAGACTCACATTAACATTGTCGTCATTGGACACGTCGACTCCGGCAAGTCCACCACCACTGGTCACTTGATTTACAAATGTGGTGGTATCGACAAACGTACTATCGAGAAGTTCGAGAAGGAAGCCCAAGAAATGGGTAAAGGTTCCTTCAAATACGCCTGGGTGTTGGACAAACTTAAGGCTGAGCGTGAGCGTGGTATCACCATCGATATTGCCTTATGGAAATTCGAGACTAGCAAATACTATGTGACCATCATCGATGCTCCCGGACACAGAGATTTCATCAAGAACATGATCACAGGAACATCACAGGCTGACTGCGCTGTACTGATCGTCGCTGCCGGTACCGGTGAGTTCGAAGCTGGTATCTCTAAGAACGGACAGACCCGTGAACACGCTCTCCTTGCTTTCACACTCGGAGTGAAACAACTGATCGTTGGTGTCAACAAAATGGACTCTACTGAGCCGCCATACAGCGAGCCTCGTTTCGAGGAAATCAAGAAGGAAGTATCTTCTTACATCAAGAAGATCGGTTACAATCCCGCTGCTGTCGCTTTCGTACCCATTTCTGGCTGGCACGGAGACAACATGCTGGAGCCTTCCACCAAAATGCCCTGGTTCAAGGGGTGGCAGGTGGAGCGTAAGGAAGGCAAGGCTGAGGGCAAATGCCTGATTGAGGCTCTGGATGCTATCCTGCCCCCAGCTCGTCCCACCGACAAGGCTCTTCGTCTTCCCCTGCAAGATGTATACAAAATCGGTGGTATCGGAACGGTGCCCGTCGGCAGAGTTGAAACTGGTGTCCTGAAGCCCGGTACCATCGTTGTATTTGCCCCCGCCAATATTACCACTGAAGTTAAGTCTGTTGAGATGCACCACGAAGCTCTCCAGGAGGCCGTACCTGGTGACAACGTTGGTTTCAACGTTAAGAACGTCTCCGTGAAGGAATTGCGTCGTGGATACGTCGCTGGTGACTCCAAGAACAACCCACCCAAGGGAGCTTCAGACTTCACTGCACAGGTCATTGTCCTCAACCACCCTGGTCAAATCTCAAATGGTTATACACCTGTTTTGGATTGCCACACGGCTCATATTGCTTGCAAATTCGCCGAAATCAAAGAGAAAGTTGACCGTCGTACTGGTAAATCCACTGAGGAGAACCCGAAATCAATTAAGTCTGGTGATGCCGCCATTGTCAACCTTGTGCCTTCCAAGCCTCTGTGTGTGGAATCTTTCCAAGAATTCCCTCCTCTTGGCCGTTTTGCTGTGCGTGACATGAGGCAAACCGTTGCCGTCGGTGTCATCAAAGCCGTTAACTTCAAGGAAGGTGCTGGTGGCAAGGTCACCAAGGCTGCAGAGAAAGCCACCAAAGGCAAAAAGTAGCTAGCGCTGTTAACAGCACAATTCTTCATACAGCTGCGATACTTCATTCACCGAAAGGTGTTCCGGAGGAAAAAGGGGCTACAAACTCATTCCTTTTCTATATTTTTTACAAGGCTTATACTGTAACATTATATTTTAATTTATAAGGTTATACATTTATCTGAAATATTTTGTTACGACTGCAACTGCAATGTAAATTCATAGAATAAAGGTAGCCTTCAGTAACTTGATAGTTTTATTTATAAGTCATTCATGTACCCTTTTAATTATTAAAGATTTTGAAATGAATTGTTTTTTATGTTAAACCAATGTTAGTTTATTTAAATGTGTTAATAATTACAAATTTAAATACCCTAGTTTAAATTTTACTAATTTAAATACCTAATGAAAATAAATTTTTAAATTGTTAACTTTATTTTAAACTACTAAATACAGTATTTTTAAAGCTCACTATAAAATTAAAAAGTACTAAAATAATGTGTGTTGAATTAAACATTTGATTTATAAAACAAACCCGTTTTCAGTGACATTTTAAAGAATTAAGCCAATACGCCATCCAAAATAGTAGCGGCTAAACTGAATTGCGGGAACCCTGATGACTGCAAAACCTATTTAAAGAATTGTCCCTCCACGATACTAAAGGCTGTATAAAAAAACTACCCCATATTTTTTACTTGCGTTTCTACGTTGAAAAATCTATTTACTGTCATTGTCATTTGTGAGTACTAACAATAGGTCTTTTTTTTATAATTTATCCAAGTAGGGTATATGTAAAGCACTTGAAAGGAAAAGTTAGTGCCATAATATATTGTACATGATTTTATGTAAAGTTTAACTTGATTCATGTGAGTAATGCCCGATTTACACGTTATAAGCAGTTTACATCTATACATATAATAAAATGTAACTTATTGTTGTCTGACCATGGAAGATATTCAAGAAAAACTATTATTGGGGCCTTTATTAACGCAATAGAACCGATTGTTAACATTTTTATTTATGCGCGCTTATCTCCGAAACGGCTTTGCCGATTTAGGTGTAACTTTCACTATTGCATTGTATTAAGCTTCACTTAAGATTTAGCGTTAGTTTTATTTAAATCTGATCATAAATAAAAAAAGTTACATCAACTTAAAGAACCACATTGAAGATGTGTCCCACAAAATGTTATACATATATCGCTACAGTTGAAACTAGTTAACTGTATATATTCATATTATTATATAATATTATATACATTCCAATATAAAGTCTGTAAAATCATGATGATTATAAGTTTATATAAAGTTAAAAAACTAGCCAAGTGCGAGTCGTACTTCCTCACGAAGGGTTCTGACATCTACAAAACCTACCCTGCTATAACATTACGAAAACATGATTTATACAATTTTTTTTATTGATATAATAACCTATTGTTAGTACCCAACTTCCTTAGGTTCGATCGAAATGAGCCAGGAACCAGGAAAAGCGTCGGACCGATATCGACCTGAACCGCACTAGAAAGTATTTTAGTAGTGATGGGACGGATAAAAATAAGAGAATATCTTTTTTAATAACATAAAACTGAAGTGTTTTTGTTTGAACTCGCTAATCTCAGGGACTACTGGTCCGATTCTTGCTGTAGATAGCCCATTTATTAAGGAAAGATTACTTTTAAAGCACGATATAAAATGTAGTTAGTACATGCGGGGGGAGCCGCAGGCGAAAAACTGGTCCTATATAAAATAGAGTGACTTAATTTCAAGTAACTGTTCATAATTAATTTATATTAAAATTTAGTCAAGCTTTTTAGTTTGCCTAAGATGGAAGACCAATAATAGCATGTAGAAGGGGTTAAATCAGTAATTAAAATTCTTATTAAATATAAATACGGTATTAACGAAATGTAAATCTTGTATAAACATCAAGTAAAATAGGATTTCTTATGTTACCTACATATAGAAACTTCTCATAATCTTTGCAAACTGTTTACTGTAAAAATGCTCTAGGTTACGATTGAAAAACAACAACCACCTCGTTCTTTGCACATTTGCAAATCTAGTTTCTAGCTTGGAATATGTCAACGAACTCATTCCTCTCCATTTTATGTCCCATTTCATAGTTTCTAGGCGAGCTTTAAATTTAGAAGAGAACCATTAAAAGTACTTATCGACGTATCCAATTTCAAGCAGCGAATCGCAATCTATTTCATCGCATTTGTATTTATATGAGAAAAATTCGTACACTACAAATCTTGTAATATTGGAACAAAATTACAAAAAAAGTTATTAATATGATTACATGTAAATTTTTACGACATCAAAGAATTTTTTAATAAGATTTAATACTTGACATTATTTTAATTAATTTTATTTTTTCTACTGTATTATAAATTGTGACATTTAATTTAGAATTGCAACTGTATTTTGTAAACTTTATATAAATAGTAAAGTGAAGTGGAATTGGTTGATATCAGTAATATTTTGCATGCTATTTAAAATTAGCATAACATGTGATAATCACAGACTTATAAAGAGAAGTTCTCTTTATAAGTCTGTGGTGATAATATAGTATTCAGTATTATGATTTGTAACACCTTGTGAAACCATGTTATAAGCAAATAAATAATGGCCCGGGATTAAGAATTGCAAATGTGATCCTACGAAATGAGGTGAACGACCATCTGACAGCGTGTTAACCAGCGAGTACAAGGTCCCCGATTCGTGACTTAAGTCAATAGACTTACGCCCAGTTTGAAATAGGGATGGTCGATATTAGAAAAACATCGATGTTGACATCGATGTCATAATCGGAAGACCAGCATCGATGTTCGATATTTATCGAAAACCGATAATCGATGATTTTTGCATTAATAGTAATTGACAAAGAAATAAAATACATTGAAATGATTCGAACTCCCAAAAGCGTAAATTAAATATTATATCAACTCAACTAAAACCCCAAGCACCCACATTCCACACCACAGCTGTACAAAAAAGTGAGATAAATTGTCTACGGTAAATTGTCTCATTTATAGCATTTATAACTTATTAAAGAACGATTTTGTTTAGCATGCACAGAAAGAAAACAGATGAATTCAACATTTAGAAGTCAATCAATAACAACTTACAAATTATTGTTGTATTCCATGTAATTTTAGATGCACAACGGTACAATAATATCTAATGAGTAAATTAAAACATGGGACGCTCGCGCACAACATAAAATTTTATCAACAAACGAATGGAAGTGTGAGAGAGAAAGAGCGAGCGAGACTACGAAGAACGAAAGAAGGGATCGACCGGTACGCAGTGAATTAATACACGTTCAGAACTTTAATAAAGCTTTTGTGGATTCGTTCACAGAAGACATAATTTGTTTCGTAAGTTGCGTTGGTCGTGCGTGAGGCCTAACTCACGGCCTCATCGATGATCGATTCCGTTAACATCGATGTTACGATATTTTCCGTATAGCAACATCGATGTAAAAACATCGATGTATTTACACTCAACATCGATGATCATCGAACATCGATGATCATCGACCATCCCTAGTTTGAAATGATAATTCTGATCGTTCTCATCAACTTTTACATAATTAATCATCCTTTTGGTAACTCAAATGAAATTTGAGAAGTCTTTTGACAGCTGATTACTTAATTTCTACGATGATGTTTCGGAAACCGGGTGTTAGTCATCAGAATAAAGAAAGAAATATGTAAATATAGATTGAAAATAATCTATAGTAACATATTTCTTTCTTCATTATCACAAAAGTTTTCTGATTGAATGACATTCAAATATAAGTTTGAAATAGGAGAAATGAGTTTCTATGAAAAATCGCCAAATTTTTTATCAATATAAAAAATAATTACATATTTAATTTTTTTTATCACATGTATTGAGAAAAGGTATCAACAGTAATGCAGGTAAAACGCTTTAAAATGTCCACTCAGTCACAGAGTACTTTTAGACATAATTATATAACCAAAATAAGGTGCACAAAACTAACTGCACACTAAACTAACAATATTTTATTTGATTTTTTAATATTGTAATTATAAATAAAAGCTGTCTAGTGTTCAATACCAATTAAAGTTTCAAGTATGTGCTGATTTTTGATGATAATAATTATACACAAGTATAAACTCAAAGCAATTGATATTTAAAACATTTCTATTAAATTCATTGACATACATTTGCATGCATTGTAAGTTTAAAATGGGATTTTTTTACAATAGCGTTGTCTGTATGTGACAAAATTTACTTCATGAATCTCACAATAAGCCCTAACTAATCTGAAATTAAGTGGGTGAATAGAAAAGAGGTTATATAATATTACTAATAACAATTTTATTAAATATAATTAAACAACATCTATTTCACCAAAACATTATTGGTTTACATTTTGTTCCTTCATTCTTTCTTCTTGTTCAATTATTATGTTAGCCCATTCTTCTGCTTGTTTATGCCTTTGCCTTTTTACGTACGGCGCGTACCACAATTTGTTAGTTGCATAAAAGGCTGTTGTCACTGACACTAACATAAGTACTTTAGAAAGTGGACTTGAATTTTGGAACCAGCGATTTAAAATATGCATATTTTATTCTATATTTCAGCGGTTGTTTCGGGTTTTGTATCCTTTTTCTTACGATAATATTCTTCAAAAAGGGGTTTCCAGATGTAAACTCCACCAAATACTCCTAAAACAGTAACTAATACTATTTGTCCCCTTGTTAAACCTCGAGGTTTATAAATTCTCATAGTATTACTGATTATTACTATAATATTACAAATCGGAACTCCATTTTAACATTACTTGTTACCTCCCCTCCTATTAAATTACAAGATTGACAGTAGGGAATAGGGATGCCGAAAAAATATCGATATTTTTTTGAAAATACATCATATCGGGCAAAAGATCCATTTTGCCCGATATATTTTGATCCGATATATCGATATAGAAAATTGAATATCGAAATCGTACCAAAAACTATATTTTTATTCAATGCCGTAAAA